ACGTTCGGTTGAAATCCGCCACAGACTTCGACATTTTGGATTCCAGATGCAGGCGTATTTTGAGAACGGTCCTTTCGCGTTTTTCGTTCCCGCCTGATTTGGTTGTGGTGGCACAGCCTGATCGAATTCGAGCCACAGTCGTAATTCTTGTGGGGTTCGTCAGGAGTTGATTTTTTTTGGGGGGTAGTTCCGATGTGGCTCGCTTTCCCACGTAGCGAAGTGATCAATCAATCAGTCCTCCTCCTCGTCCGTCTTGTCCCCCCTCCCTTCCTCTGTCCCCTCCCCCTTTTTTCTCTCCGTCCCTCCGTTCCCTCGTCCCTTCCCCATATCAATATTTTCTCATTCCCTCGCCCTTCCCTCTCCTCCCCTCCTCCCCTTTTCCCCTATACGTTCCTTCTCCCTTTCAGCGCGCCCTCCGTCGCGTTTCCGTTCCTCCCCGTCTCTCACGCAGAGACCTCTTCCCCCCTTTTTTCCCCCTTTCCCCCAGAAAGTTCGGGGATTTTCCAAGGACCTGTGTGCCTGCCCTTCCCTTCTCACCCCCCGTTGGCCTAGGTGACCTACGAGGAGTTTGCCCGCACTCGGCTGCAACCCATGGACCGCCGCCCCCTCCCTTCAGGCTGCGCGTACCGTTCCAAAGGTGTATCATCGTTTTGCGTCGTCGTCACGTTCGCTGGTGTCGTCGTTGGTGCCGTCGTTCAATTCCTGGTTGGTACGTCGTCGTCGCTGTCGGATACATGTGGTGCCGTCGGTATCGTCGGCACCATCGCCCCCCACGGGGGAATCGAAAAACGCGGTTGTCGTTTCGGAAACTCTTCCCGGCTGTTTTTTATTTGTCATTCTCCATCTCTCTCTCTCTGTCTCTCTCTCCCCGTCTGTCCTTGTTTCTGCCCCTATCCCTGCTCCTGTCCCTGAGTATTTCTCAGTCTCTCTTTCTCTCTCTGTGCCTCGTCCTCCCCCTCGCTTCTCCTCCGTTTTTCTCTCTCTCTCTCTCTCTCTCTCTCTCCCTCCTGTTTCGGCTCGAGTGCTCGGCTTAGAGCGAACCAAAACGCCAAACTTCCCGCATCCTTGCTTGCCCCGCGAAGCCGGGCATTACCCACGTCGTGGCAGATTGGCGTCGCACCCCATCAGTCCAACGTCCCGCGCGCGCGCCATGGCACCAAAAGATCCACGCCGTGCGCCTTATGCACAAAGGGCAGCCCAAGCCACGAGGCAAGGGCCCGATGTTCACGCATCATCCCTAATGGCCACGTGGCCACGAATTCGATCCGACTCCTGCGACTTCTGCTGCCGCCTGGAATTCGCATCCGCGGCGCGTGGCCATGTATCCCGGTTGATTTTGCCGCCAGAGCGGGTTGTCGCCGACAACCCGCATAGCGCCCCGCGCGACCGGCTTGCCCAACCCAACCCCGAGCCGTTCACCAAAAAGGGTCGGCAAACAACGGCCGCGCGCAGCGCGGGGCCCACAAGCGCGACCGCGGCGGGCGCTGCCACCATCGGAACCTACACGCGGTACATCCTCGATCATGTGGCCGCATTCTCCCATGGGGCCATTTCAGCCATGGTTTAAGCAGGTCTACGGTCCAAGGACCCATTCACTACGCGCCGGCGAGCCGAACTCCTTAGCATAGGCTTCATCCTGCCGCGCGGTTCCCGCTTGGGGCATGGGTCAACACGCTCGCCAGAGCCAGTGCTCCCGCGTCCGAGCTGCAAGCCCCCCTACACCCTGCGAAATGCTTAAGAAATCATGGGTTAAGAAATTCAGAGTCTGCGAATTTGAAATAAAACCCAGAACTTCTATCAAAATCTTGGGATTTACATTGAAAAGTTAAGAATAATCGAGACTCTGGACGAAAACTTAGGTTTTCTTAAGCATCGCCTAAGGTGTAGACCAGCGTCAACCACATGAGGTCGCGCGTGCAACGGCCGCGATCGACGCCATGCGCAGCCTCGCGCAGCCCCCCGTGGAGGAGAGCCGCAGCAAGGCAACACGGGCGGCTGCGCAGCTGCGGCCGCAGCCACGGCCCCCGCCGAGGCCGCCGAGGCACCAGCCCTGCCAGTAGATAGGAGAGGAGGATTTCGACCGCCCAGTGAAGAGGAGGATTTCGATTTTTTTTTTTCGAGGAGGATTTCGAGGAGGATTTCGAGGAGGATTTCGAGGAGGATTTCGAGGAGGATTTCGAGGAGGATTTCGAGGAGGATTTCGACCGCCCGGCTACACCTTAGGCGATGCTTAAGAAAACCTAAAGTTTCGGCCAGAGTCTCGATTATTCTTAATCTTTGAGTGTGAATCCCAAGATTTTGATAGAAGTTCTGGGTTTTAGTCAATTTCTGAGACTGTGAATTTCTTAACCCATGATTTCTTGAGCATTTCGCAGGGTGTACATTGACAACCTCATCTAGATACGCGGAGAGTGAAGGCGAGTCGTGAGCCACCCCGGCGCAGAGAGTACTGCAGCACGTTGGATGTGCTGAGAGTTCGACGCCGAGGCCTCCGCCCCAGCCGCGGACGAGAGGATCGGAACCGACGCGAATCGACAGCCACAGGTCAGTTCTTTCGCCCGTCCCCATGACGCGCAGCCCAGGGCCTTCCAACGTAACCAGTGTGCCCCACATGCCCTGGCGCACCTGGTCAGCCTTGTCAGCGACAGGGGATGGGCCCGAGGCGCCGTGGTTCCCGCGCCAGGCGAAGCGCGAAAGGCGCTCTGGAGAGGCCCCCGGGTCGACCTGCGGGCATCCGATCCCACTGCACACGCACCTGGCTTGCCTCAGGAGGAAAAGAAACACACAGACACAATTAATCGTCGACTCCCAGGAAAATATGCAAAAATATGGGAAGTGGGGGGGAAGACAAAAACCCCAAAAATATAGGAAAATATGGGGAATCCTTTTATTTGTGTGTATTTATTTGTGTGTCCTGGGGCCCCTTCAACCTGGCTTGCCCCAAACTCTTGTCACTAACGGGCCAGCGGAGTCACGTGGACTAGGGAAGACGCCGCAATGTCTGGTTGCAACATCATCCCTAGGCTAACATGGGATTCGGCTCACCACGCGTTTGAGTATGCATGCGAGACCGGGGTCTTCTTTCACAAGGGTCGAGAACCCCGAACGCCTCTGCAATTGTTGGTGGACTCCCATACCGGGGACACGGCATGATACGGCCGGGGTGAAAACACGAGGCCGCGTAAACCATGCCCAGACGAGCTGTCTTCATAAGGGATGTGGAGGAGAACTCAGTGGAAGAAAGGGGCGGGTAAGACGGCGTGCCCCAAGATGTGCAGGATGGAAGAGGAATGGTATGAGAAGGGGCAAGAGGAAGTATGAGGAGGATGAGGAGGAGGATCTCGAGGAGGAGAAACAGTCGGAGGAGGAGGAGGGAGAGGAGGAGGAGGAGGAAGAGGAGGAGGAGGAAGAGGGAAAGGAGGTGGAAGTGCGAGAGGAGGAGGAACAGGCGGAAGAGAAGGAATAGCAGGGAGAGGAGGAGGAGGAGGAGGAGGAGGAGGAGGAGGAGGAGGAGGAGGCGTAGGAGAACCAGGAGGAGGAGGAGGAGGAAGAGGATGAGGAGGAGGAGGACGAGGTGGAGGAGGGGGAGAGCGATCAGAAAGGCCACAGGCCTCTTGGATGCGTCTCGTAGGATTTCATTTGGGAGCTTCTTGAAGTGCTCCCAGAGCGTCTTGGGGACCACTTGTCAGTCCTGGGTCCCTCTTGGTGTGTTTTGGGTGCCTCTGTTGCTGAAGGCATCTTGCGACACCTTTTTCTCTTCTCCTTGGTCGCGCGCAGTCTGGTGCACTGCACTCTCGCTCGCTCGCTTGCGTGCGTGCCAGGTCGTTCCCACGTTGGCAGTAATAATGGTTCCAAGACGGCCCGCCCCAGGCTTCAAGAGAGCGCCTCAGGACCCCGAAGGGACGTTGAGACAGCCCCACGGCGCCCCCAGAAAAGCACCAGTAGCCCTGAAAATGAGTCCCGACCGTACCTCATGCTGCTCCGATCTCCGAGCTTGCACAGGTATCCCCGCACTGTGATCATATTGGGATGTGATCCATGCCCGTCCGTGGCCGAGACGCCTCCCCAGTCTGCGCCAGACCCTGAGCGCGCGAGCGAGGCGCGCGCGCGTCCCTCTGGCACAGGTCCGTGCTCGAAGGGGGGCTGCCGCCGAGTCTTTTTGGACGGGTCTCCCCTCGAGCGTGGCAGGGCGCGCTCGTGCCGCCTCGATTCGGCGGCGCCGCCAGATGCAGGCGCTTTCAGGGCGAGCATGGCCCAGTGGAGGGGCTTTTGTCCCGGGCCCCTGGGCCCACAAAAGCCACTCACTGCGCGAGATCCATGCGAAGACGGTGCCGACAGCCCCTTGGGGGGCTCCGAGATGGCCCACCGTTCGAGATACTGAGCGGTTCTTCTCGCGCTGCCGGAGGCCAAGGCCGGCGCCGCCATGGCAAGGGTTCGTCGCGGGCCTTCGCATTTTCTGGCCCTCCCTGCTGCTGCCAATCCTCATTCTGTCAGGCTGTTTGCGTCGTATTGGGCGAGCAAGCGGCGGCACGGTTGCACTCCGTCAGAGGCCTTTCTTTCCTTGGTCTCGGGCGATCTCCGTCGTGGCCTCTCCCCCACGCGAGTTTGTTCCGCAAACGGTGCTCGCACCGGGGGAGTCATACATGTGGCCTCGGCAGCTGGCCTCGCGTACCAGGGCTGGCCGCTCTTACTCAGGAGGAAAAGAAACACACAGACACAATTAATCCTCGATTCCCCAGAAAATATTGGAAAATATGGGAAGTGGGGGGGAAGACAGAAACCCAGAAAATATGGGGAAATATGGGGAATATTTTCATTTGTGTGTATTTATTTGTGTGTCCTGGGGCCCCTTCACTTACGTGGACTGCCCGTGCGCAACTGTGTGTCGCAGCTGCATTCGTCGCGCCACACTGCATTCATCGACGTCATCACCGCCGCTGAGACTTCGACGATTGCAGCTTCAGCTGCGGGCGGGACTCACACGGCTTCCTTGCCCGCTAGCCCTGCGTGATGCCCACGAGCGTTGCCGCGTGCTTTCTCGCGTGTGGGCTTCATTTTCGAATGGTTGTTTCTTGGCTGCGGACTTCTGCTGTGCACGCGTACACGCGCTCCTCTCCTCCAGTCTCTTCGTTGTCCCACTTTCCGACTCCCGCTCACGTCTGTTCAGCTTCGGTTCGCCTTCCACGGCTTCGCCCAGTGAGCGTGCCGGCCTGTTGGTCAAGTCCGCACTTTCTTTGGCTCTGTGGAGCGCATGGCGGAGCGCGCATGGCTCCAGCGAAGCGCGCATGGCTCTATGGCTCTGGCCCCCCCCCCCAGGAGTCGCAGAGGCAGTTCACGGCGCGCCGCAACTCGGAGCTGCAGTCGGCGGGGCATAGGGGGGGCGAGGGGCTCTGCAGGTTGCGGGGGAGCAAGCGGGCCTCACTCGTGCGGAGCGCACCGGCGGATCACTGGGCAGGCAGAATCCCGCATAGGCCTGGCCTGATCCACCTCAATCCCGCTCCATCCCGCTCAATGTCACTTAACCTGACCGACGTTGGCTTAATCCTCGGCTTCATCTGGCCTAATGTAGCTTAGTAGTCTAATCGGGTCTCACTCGAGCTCGACGCTCGATGCTGCTCAGGCGAACAGGCCGTGTTGATCGCGTCGTGAGGGCACTCTTCCGAAGCAGGTTCTCCCAATTCCCACCGCAGAATGTGATTGATGTTGCGTCGGGGGGGAGTCCCATGGACGATCACTGACTGCCGCCTGCCACTGTCGGATCGGCAGAGGCCTCGTCACTGGGGTCCTTCATGGAATGCATGTCGCGCAAAGCAGCGGCCAGTGCTTCACCACCTCTGCCCATCGAACATCAGCGACGCCATGTTTTTATTCCCATTTCGGACCTCCAGGGCCCGGATGAAAAGCCCGATCGTGGTGATGGATCGGGAGGTTTGGGGACCCATGCCTGGACGAAGGGATTCGAGGAGTGCCAGGTCCCATTGCCTGGACGAAAGGAAGAACAGCGAGCACGCGCTGCCTCGGACATCGTCGCCTCGGTGCGATCATCTCCCCTCCGTCTTCCTCCTCCTCCTCATCCTCTTCCTCCACATGTCTACCTCGGGAGCTCGAGCTCACCTGTGTGCGTTCTAACCAGAACTTCCACACGAGGGCGAAATCGGTCACGTACCCCTCCTTGGGTCAATCTTGGCCAGGCCTTTCACCCGGGATCGATTTTGGACGGTCCATGGATCCGAGACAGGACCCTATTGGTTGAAACCGACGAGCAAACAAATGAGAATGGACTATCGAGAAACATTTTGTAGCTTTCCTCCTTCTATTCCTCGCCTAGCGCCGCCAGGTGGCCGCGGGCAGCGACGTGCCCGAGTGGAAGGTAATGAACACCTCGCAGATGGAGCGCGCCGGGAACAGCCCGTGGGCGGTGCCCCCCGCCTCCTCCTGTGAATGGAGCAGGAGGAGGGGATTACGAGTATGAGTATAATCGTATGGCAGAGCCAACGAGCGTATACACAATCGTGGATGACTTGCACATGGTGGCACTAAGAACGCTTCTCAGCATCACTGAGCACCCTCGGCCACATCCCCCCTGGAGATCCGATCAAGCTCAGAGTGAGGGGACCGAACGGTTATTCGTTGTTCCTACTTCTTGTTTGCACTTGTTTGCAATTTCGGGGCGCTACGAATTCGGACCTGGTGTGTGTGTGTGTGTGTTGGCGTGTGTTGTCTCCCTCGCGTTACTGTTCGCTGCACCTGCGCTTTCCGTCCTGTCTTGTCACTCGCCCCTTGCGATCTCGCCTCTGCCGCCGCCGCTGCCTGCACTTGTATGTACTGGCCCTCCGTCTTCTCTTCGTCTTTTCCCCGCCTTTGCCTCCCCGCATCTCTGCCCTGGGTTCGAGTACACCTTAGGCGATGTTTAAGAAAACTTAAGTTTTCGACCAGAGTCTCGATTATTCTTAACGTTTCAATGTAAATCCTAAGATTTGAATGGAAATTGTGGGTTTTTATTCAAGTTCTGAGACTATGAATTTCTTAACCCATGATTTCTTAAGCATTTCGCAGGGTGTATGGCACGGCTGATCCCCTCCAGATGGATCCCTGCCCTCGGCTTCGGAGGGGGCCGACCGCGCTCGTCTCCCGCGTTCCGCTCGTCGACCCTCGACGCCTTGACGCTGCGCGCGAGGCCGCGACGCAACCAACATGTGTACACCTTAGGCGATGGTTAAGAAAACGTAAGTTTTCGGCCAGAGTCTCGATTATTCTTAACGTTTCAATGCAAATCTTAAGATTTTAATGGAACTGTTGGGTTTTTATTCAAGTTCTGAGGCTATGCATTTCTTAGCCCATGATTTCTTAAGCATTTCGCAGGGTGTACGTGTGCGTTCTTATGATACGTACCCTCCTGTCTCCGCCATCACACCCGGGCGACAACAGCGGCGTCTTACCGAATCTGACCGCACTGCATACCCCCATTGCAGCGGTCCCGTTTCTTCTTCCCTCTTGTGTCGCCCGTCTCGCACTCGTAAGTGTGTTGCGCCTGCTGGAGTTCATTTGGGTCCAAGCTTGACCGTGACCGCCTTGCATGGTTTCGGCATCTTCACATGCATCCGTTTCGGCCTTTTTTTGTCCCACTGCATGCGTCAGCTTCGCCCTGACCTCCCCATATCAGCAGCGCCAGGTTGTAATCATCCTAGGCGCGTCCCGTCCTAGCCTCGCTGCGTTGACTGAACAAAGCGCCGACCAAACATTTGTGTGATGTGTGATGTTGCGAGTACACCCTGTGAAATGCTTTAGAAATCATGGGTTAAGAAATTGATAGTCTCAGAATTTAAATAAAAACCCAGAATGCCCATTCAAATCTGAGGATTTACACTGAAACATTAAGAATAATCGAGACTCTGGCCGAAAACTTGGGTTTTCTTAAGCATCGCCTAGGGTGTACAGGCTCGTCCGAGACTGCCCTGTGGCGGCGGGTCACCCCGGACCCCCTGGAGCTCGCCCCCCCGTCCTGTGGCGGGCTCTCGGAGGCCCGCGGAGGCTTGGCTCCAAGCAGAACCGCAAGTACCGGGTGACAGTGGATAGGATGGCAGAAGAAACTCAACATTGGAAGGCGGGGGGCTCTGCCCGGTGCGGTGGGCGGCCCTCTCCGTCGCCTTTTTCTTCATGCTGCGCGCCTCCGAGTACCTGGCCCACCCTCGAAACCCTCGGCGGGAAACCAGGGTCTTGTTTGGAAGGGGCGCCACCCCACGGAAGGCGGGGGCAGTGTGCACCACGTGTGTGGCGGCCGACGAGGTGGTGATCTACATCAAGGCGAGCAAGGCGGACCAGTGCAATTTCGGCTGTTGCGGGAAACGCTTCACGGCTGGCAGCGACGCGTGTCCGGTGAGAGCCTTGGCTGAGCTTCAGCGCCTGGCCCGTCAGCGCTGGGCGTCGGAAGCGGATGCCCCCCTCCTCCGGGATGAAGAGGGCCCGATCCGGCGTCGGGAGGCGAAAGCCCTCCTGGACCGGGCGGCGGAGGCGGCGGGGATCCACCCGTCGCACATTGGGAGCCCCTCCCTTCGGATCGGGGGCGCGACCGCGATGTGCCACGTGGTCTCTGACCTGGAGCGGCTCGAGCGTTTCCACGTCTACCTCAAGGAGGCGCGTGAACCCAGAAGGGGCTGGCGGAGGCCATGTCGGCCCAGCACTACCAGCTCATCTTGGTGGGCGCCAACAGGAGGAAACTGGGGTGCGCCGACAGGAGGAACCACGGGGCGCCAGTTTCTCAAACAGACCCAAGAGGAATTCCCCCGGGCGAGGCTTGGGGGCCCCCAGGAAAGGGGGGAGGGGGAAGGGTGACCTGGGCGGCCGCGGGGGCGCGAGTGATTCGGGACCTGGGCGAGGGGCGCCGGGGCCGCGCGAAGCGGGGCCCGCCGCAGTAGAGGACCCATGGATTTTTTAAGCGCAGGGCACCCACTTGGGGCGCCCCGTTCCCAGCGACCTCATTGACCAGGGCGGTGCCCACCAGGGGCGCCGCGCACTGTCGGCGGGGCGGGCTGCCCGTGGCCTGCGCGGAGGGCAGCCGCGCCCAGCTCTCTTGTGCCTCAGTTGCACCGCGCTTTCTTACAAGAGGCCGCCCCGCCAAGGGTGGGCCGGTCCCTCCGTGTGTGTTTTGGGGAGGTAGGAAAAGGGCGCGGACCCGTTGGGCGTGACGTGGGCTTGTTGTTGGCGGTCATCTTTCGGCTGAGCCCCTGCTGTTCGCCGTGCCCGTAGATGCGGGTGCTCCTCCCTTTCGTTCTTGCGTCGTGCAGGGCCTCTGTCAGGGAATCTGGTTTTGTTAGTGCGCTCGCGCTGTGACGCGAGGATTCCTGGCTGGCCGCGCGATTGCTGCTCTTTCCCCTTCTCCTTCATTTAGGCAGGAGCTGGCCTTAGCCCCCCCCCGCCCGCCCTGCTTTTCCCGCCCCCGTGCGAGCGAGCGGGCGGCGGGCCTTCGGCTGCGCGCTTGCTTTTCGCCGCGCCAGTAAAAACGGGCGCTCCTTCCCCTTCCCCCCTCCTGCGCGGCGTGGAGCCTCCATCAGGGTTTAGTCGCCGAAGATCTCAGGGCGGCCGCCGCCGCGCTCCGCCGTCGAGGAAACCTCTGTGATCGCATCGCCCAAACCGAGGTAATGACTTCCATGGGCTCGCAAAGTCAAGGCAGCTTGATGGCGGGGTACCATCGGCAACAATGGGCGGCCTCGCCGGCGGATAGGCACGCGCGACGACCAGGAAACAGGCGCTGCCGCCATGAAGACGCTCGACCTCGCGAGAGCACGGGCTATCCGGATGCAGGTTCTCATCGTGGGACCTCCGTGATGTTTGTTGCAGTAGGGGCCGATTCAAGATGCGCCCGGGGAGTTTGACTTTCGAGCCGCCCAGATGCGTCTCTGCCCTTCGGCGTCAGATGTAGCCGCGCTCAAACCCAGCGGCGCGGGTGTCGAGGCATGTGCTACATGCCCTAAGGTCCCAGAGAGCCCAATCGGACCTCCCACCGCGGACCGCGAACTGGATTGGCGCAGCCGCGACCATAGGACTGCCTACTGCAATCCATGCTGTGCGCTGCGCCGACCAGCTGGATAAATGCAGACCAATTCGAATCGCTAATGCTACAGAGATTCCAGAGCGCGTTCACGTTCGCAGTCGAGAAGGCGAAGACATACGCACAACCGCCCGCAATGGTACCGAATTATAATGGCGTTGTCCGTCGTGTTACCTTGGACCTCGCCGCTCAAAATGCGATGCAATGGGTGCGTGTCAGGGACCGACCGACAGTCTGCGACTGGGCGGCACCGCTACCGCCAGACGTCCGCAACGCGCGCGCCCGACTGCGCTGGGAGCCCGCGACCCAGGACATGCTCTGTCACGGGCAACGTGCGCGGCCGCGCCCAATGGGGAAAGCCACGTTCATCCAAGATCGCTGATCTCCCCCCTTCTCGGCTTCATGGGCATGGCCGCCGCCGACGGCGCCGACAGCCTGGTCGCGGGCTCGACCGCGAGCTAGACCGTGCGCTTCGTCGCGGGCTTGATTGCGAACTGGACCATGAACCTACCAGCGAGCTACCACAAATCGCAAACATTCCAACGCCTCCAGCGGGCACGCGCAACTCCTTCCCCATGCATGCCCGGCTCAAGCAAAAGGGGGCATTCAACGCGGACCAACAAGCCGGCATCGAGCCGCAAAGGATGCCAACAAAGGTGGGGGGCGGCGCCGGCAATTTCGGAGCATGCCTCAAAGGCCTCAACTTCGACAGTTCATGCACCGACGTTCTAATCGAAGAGTTTGCAACTATTTCTATCGACGGCGGCGATGCCGCATTTTTGTCGCAACTTAGCATGGCGGACGCCCGCGCGTGCGCAGTCGCCGTTGCGCCCCCAACTCTGCGGTGCGGAATGGGCAATCGCGTCGATGTGCGGGAGCTGCGCAGGGGCCTTGGAGGCGTCTCCCAACTGCCCTGCAGGATGCGCATCGGCTTCGGGGTCGGGGGCAACCTCGATTAGCGAGCCAACGTCGACCCTGTCGACCCACGGTTTCAACGGGCCGTGGTACGCTGCCGGCGCGAGCGTTTCGGCATCATGGCAGTTCTGCCACCTCGGCGCAGGGCTACGGGCCAGCATTCATATTTTTAATGCATGGGTGCGCCGCGCCGACTGGTGCCAACGCCACCATGAAGACCTTCCCCAAGCCGCCTGCTGGTGCATGGTTTCCCGTCTTGCAGGGCGGCCACTTTCGTTTCCTTGGGCTCGGGGGTGGGCGGGGCGGCCCCGTGGTCAACCATGGCCAAACGCAGGATCGCTCGCGGGCAGACCATTGGCCAACGCTCGGGAGTGCTAGGAGACTCCATTGGCGCACTCATTCGAAAACCCACCGAGATGGTGTCTTACTATTGAGACGACGGCCGTTGGATAGTA